GAGCTAACAGAGGGCGGTCAGGAACGGGGGGAGACATCCGCCTCTTCAGCAGCCAGGCGAAGAAGTACTGGCGAGGAGAGTGGCTCGGTAGCCGGTCTAGAGACAGGTCTGTCTCCTGACCCACACGCAGCCGAGGGGGCTAGTAGTGAGGCGGAGACCCTAATTGATGATGATGAGGCTGATCGCACTTGGCAGCCTCGTCGTCATCAGGCTATTGCTTCCGCATCATCAGGAGAAGAGGGTGCCAGCTTGGCAGCGAGCAAAACAGTCGGTGGGTTGCCCAGGAGGCAGCAGGGTCGCAGCAGTGTCAGTGGAGGCAAACGGCCACGGAGGAGAGCACCAGCTCCACTGCAGCCTACCACCACGGCCAGTAGTGGTGCCGGTGTGCACGGAGGAAGTAGCAGTCAGCCAGTGAGGAGTAGCGGGGGCAAAGTTTCCTACTCGGCGGTGTGGCAATTTTTCGTCAAGCCGCCCGAGAGGAAGTAAACGTAGCCGTATGTCGACTATGTGGCCAGAAAGTCAAGCGTGGCCAGGGGGCCCATGTTGGGACTACAGCGTTGCGTCAGCATATGCAGCGTCGCCATTCGGTGGCCTGGGAAAACCGTGATAAAGATACGGCGGTTCTGCCTGCCCCCCAGCCCCCGCTCCATCACCCGCTCCGCTTTACTTGCTCCGTCACCCGACGTCAATCGCCCTCTATCAGCCAGTCAAGGCTCCAACACCTCTGCTGAGGGGAGTTGTCGCTCGTTGGCATCTTCCGCTCGTTCAGATGCTCCTTCTCCTGCTACTCCTCTTCACGGATTCCGTCAGCAGTCTTTCTTGGAATCCGTTTCCAAGAGACAACAGTTTGCGAGCACGCACCCGACGGTGCAGAAGCTGAACGTCCTCCTGTCCAAGTTGCTGGTGCTGCAGTCCCTCCCTTTCCAAGTGGTGGACTCAGCACCTTTCCGAGAAATGATGGCTTGTGCCGCGCCGCGGTGGAGAGTGCCAAGCCGGCATTTCTTCGCCAAAAAGGCAGTGCCAGCCCTGCATTCACATGTAGAAGAGATGGTGGGCCAGTCTTTGAGCATGTCGGTCTCTGCCAAAGTGCACGGCAGCGCCGACGTGTGGAGCTGTAACTACGGTCAGGGACAGTACATGTCATTTACGGCCCACTGGGTGAACGTGGTGCCGGCACAGCCGCACCAGCAACTTGGACAGGTCACGCGCTTTTGCCTCCACGTTTGCACGTCCTTGGTCCAGCAAAGATGTCCGCCTCTACCACCTCTTCTTCCGCCGTGTCCTCAGCCGCCACCCCCCCGTGCCAAGTCCCATTACCCGACCGGCATATCACATGTGCAGGGCGCAACGGTGTCACGCTGTGCTGCACCTGGTATGCCTTGGCGAACGTAGTCACACAGGGGAGGAACTTCTGAGTGTAATGAACAGAGAAATCGACAGATGGCTGTCTCCGCGCAAACTGAAAATCGGAACCATGTTGACCGACAACGGAAAGAACATGGTGTCTGCTCTGCGTCAAGGAAGGTTGTGCCATGCGCCATGCATGGCTCACGTGTTCAATCTGGTTGTCAAGCGGTTCCTAAAATCCACCATCCCACTGCAAGACATCCTTAAAATGTCACGTAAACTTTGCATGCATTTCAGCCATTCCTACACCGCAAAGCACACCCTCCTTGAGCTGCAGCGGCAGAACGGAATTCCACAGCATCGCCTGATCTGCGACGTTGCAACAAGGTGGAATTCAACCCTACATATGTTAGACCGCCTTTACGAACAGCGAAAGGCCATCACCGATTTCCTGATGTTACAAGCGGATAAAGGTACTCCCCTGTGTAACTTAGATGTCAGCCATTGGCAGCTCATGCGTGACACCTGCCGCTTGCTCAGGCCCTTTGAGGAGGCCACGCTATTCGTGAGTCGGCAGGACTATGGGATGAACGACGTCATTCCTCTGTTGCACGTCCTGGAACAAATGCTGTTAACAATGGCTGGTCAGGGTGCGGTAGACGTGGCGCACAGATCTCAACGCCACATGACCCCTGTGGGGGCAGGACAGGAAGAAGAGGAGGAGGTAGAGGAGGAGGACATTGGTGCTCAGGAATTATTGAGTGAAATGGGTGGTTTTTCACTCAGCGGACAGGAGTGGAGGAGCAGGAGCATCTGGTAGAGGAGGAGGAGGAGACAGAGGACCCAGACGCACGCACCGTGGCAGTATGCTGTGGAGATGGAGGCAGGGAGTCCCTCGCATTCCTTTTGCACAAATGGCCCATAGCATGCTCGGTTGCTTGCGTAGCGACAGCCGAATAATAACCATCAGACAGAGGGATGACTTTTGGCTGTCCACCTTGTTGGACCCTCGCTACCGTTCAAAAATGGTGGCCTTTTTCACACCTGCTGAGAGGGAGGCCAAAAATAACGTACTATAAAAACCACCTATGTAGTCAGTTGGTCTCTGCCTTTCTGCGCCAACGTCCATCCTCAGACACTGTGGGCCCTGTGCGCTCGCGTTCCGCTGCCATGGCAGCAGGGGAGGGGTGGGGTGGTAGGAGCAGTGGCAGCTCCACCAGCAGCGGCTGCCTCAGTCTGCAGTCGATGATGAGTAGCTTTCTTCACCAGCGCAGTGAGGAAACTACTAAACCAGCCGCAGCCGCAGCAGCAGCAGCATCAGGTGGACCTGGAGCAGGACCTCAAACAACAGGCTTGGGCCTACTTGGACAGCACCCTGCCAACCGAGGTAGACAATCCCCTTGACTACTGGGCAACGAAACTTGACCTTTGGCCCCAACTAGCTGAATTTGCCCTTGAAAGGCTGTCATGCCCGGCCAGTAGCGTGGCATCGGAGCGCGTGTTTTTAGTGCGGCAGGAGGTATTGTAACTCCGCGGAGGACACGACTGTCCACCCAAAGTGTGGAGAGACTCACGTTTGTGAAAATGAATCAGGCGTGGATTAGTCTGGATTTCAAACCACCAGTTCCTGACACAACTGACTAAATCCGCCATGAATCATGCCCCAAACATGTTATTATTTTTAACATAGGCCTCTGTATGGCCTTCAATTTAAGCTGCTTACGCTTCGCCACTCTGCCATGGGCCCCTGTACCCGCCTCCTCTTGCTGCTGCCAGGTCCAGAGTGTGTCATGGGTCCCTGTACGGCCTCCCATTGCTGCTGTCTCCATCGCCACACTCTGCCATGTGCCACTTTCAGGTCTCCTCACACTGCTGGTGGGTTCCATTTTGTCATAGGGTGCTGGCAGATTACGGGCCTCCCATTGCTGCTGCCAGGCCCGTAATCTGCCATGGGCCCCCGTACCGACTCCTCATGCTGCTGCCAGGCCCGTAATCTGTCATGGGCCCCTGTACCGCCTCCTCATGCTGCTGCCAGGTCCAGAGTGTGTCATGGGTCCCTGTACGGCCTCCCATTGCTGCTGCCACTTTCAGGCCACTGCTGGTGGGTAATTTGCCATGGGCCCCCGTACCGACCTCCTCATTGCTGCTGCCAGGCCCGTAATCTGTCATGGGCCCCTGTACCGCCTCCTCATGCTGCTGCCAGGTCCAGAGTGTGTCATGGGTCCCTGTACGGCCTCCCATTGCTGCTGTCTCCATCGCCACACTCTGCCATGTGCCACTTTCAGGTCTCCTCACACTGCTGGTGGGTTCCATTTTGTCATAGGGTGCTGGCAGATGGCCTCCCATTGCTGCTGCCAGGCCCGTAATCTGCCATGGGCCCCCGTACCGACTCCTCATGCTGCTGCCAGGCCCGTAATCTGTCATGGGCCCCTGTACCGCCTCCTCATGCTGCTGCCAGGTCCAGAGTGTGTCATGGGTCCCTGTACGGCCTCCCATTGCTGCTGTCTCCATCGCCACACTCTGCCATGTGCCACTTTCAGGTCTCCTCACACTGCTGGTGGGTTCCATTTTGTCATAGGGTGCTGGCAGATTACGGGCCTCCCATTGCTGCTGCCAGGCCCGTAATCTGCCATGGGCCCCCGTACCGACTCCTCATGCTGCTGCCAGGCCCGTAATCTGTCATGGGCCCCTGTACCACCTCCTCATGCTGCTGCCAGGTCCAGAGTGTGTCATGGGTCCCTGTACGGCCTCCCATTGCTGCTGCCAGGCCCGTAATCTGCCATGGGCCCCCGTACCGACTCCTCATGCTGCTGCCAGGCCCGTAATCTGTCATGGGCCCCTGTACCGCCTCCTCATGCTGCTGCCAGGTCCAGAGTGTGTCATGGGTCCCTGTACGGCCTCCCATTGCTGCTGCCAGGCCCGTAATCTGCCATGGGCCCCCGTACCCGACTCCTCATGCTGCTGCCAGGCCCGTAATCTGTCATGGGCCCCTGTACCGCCCTCCTCATGCTGCTGCCAGGTCCAGAGTGTGTCATGGGTCCCTGTACGGCCTCCCATTGCTGCTGTCTCCATCACCACACTCTGCCATGTACCACTTTCAGGTCTCCTCACACTGCTGGTGGGTTCCATTTTGTCATAGGGGTGCTGTATGGCCTCCCATTGCTGCTGCCAGGCCCATAATCTGCCATGGGCCCCCGTACCGACTCCTCATGCTGCTGCCAGGCCCGTAATCTGTCATGGGGCCCCTGTACCGCCTCCTCATGCTGCTGCCAGGTCCAGAGTGTGTCATGGGTCCCTGTACGGCCTCCCATTGCTGCTGTCTCCATCGCCACACTCTGCCATGTGCCACTTTCAGGTCTCCTCACACTGCTGGTGGGTTCCATTTTGTCATAGGGTGCTGGCAGATTTACGGGCCTCCCATTGCTGCTGCCAGGCCCGTAATCTGCCATGGGCCCCCCGTACCGACTCCTCATGCTGCTGCCAGGCCCGTAGTCTGTCATGGGCCCCTGTACCGCCTCCTCATTCTGCTGTCCAGGCCAGACTGTGTCATGTGTCCACTTTACGGCCTCCCATTGCTGCTGCCAGGGTTCCGTAATCTGCATGGGTGCCCCCGTTACCGACTCCTCATGCTGCTGCCAGGCCCGTAATCTGTCATGGGCCCCTGTACCGCCTCCTCATGCTGCTGCCAGGTCCAGAGTGTGTCATGGGTCCCTGTACGGCCTCCCATTGCTGCTGTCTCCATCGCCACACTCTGCCATGTGCCACTTTCAGGTCTCCTCACACTGCTGGTGGGTTCCATTTTGTCATAGGGTGCTGTATGGCCTCCCATTGCTGCTGCCAGGCCCGTAATCTGCCATGGGCCCCCGTACCGACTCCTCATGCTGCTGCCAGGCCCGTAATCTGTCATGGGCCCCTGTACCGCCTCCTCATGCTGCTGCCAGGTCCAGAGTGTGTCATGGGTCCCTGTACGGCCTCCCATTGCTGCTGTCTCCATCGCCACACTCTGCCATGTGCCACTTTCAGGTCTCCTCACACTGCTGGTGGGTTCCATTTTTTCATAGGGTGCTGTATGGCCTCTCATTGCTGCTGCCTCCACCGCCACACTGTGGCTCCACACTCTGGTTTTGGCCCCGTGACTGCCCAAATGAGTGAAGTGTGCGGTGATTCTAAGATCGACGGCACTCATCTGCATGTCATACTGCCTGACAGTATTATTTCTCTTCCCCAGCAGACTCCAAGGGCATTTAAATTAAAGGTACAGTGTTCTGCACTAATATAAAGGCTCTCTGAAGCCTAGAAACACCCTTTTTATAAGTTAAATTCGCAGCGAATATATTCGACTCGAATCGAATTTATTCTGCGAATTCGCCGAATCAGCCGAATCGAATTTTTGAATAATTCGCTCATCTCTAGTTATAGCGTTTACAAATGGCGGGAAAGATACTGGGATTTAAAAAAAATTTTTAATACTAATAATGGCGGCGATCAGCGACTTATGGCGGCGATCAGTGACTTATGGCGGCGATCAGCGACTTATGGCGGGACTGCGGCGGACATTCTGACACTGGGGGGGAACTGACTTGGGGTCACTGACATCCCCAGTGACACACCAATACAGTGATCAGTGCAAAAAAAAAAAAAACACTGACACTACTAATGGCACTGGGGAGGAAGGGGTTAACTTTATTATTCAGTGAAAGGGTTAACTGTGTGAGGGGAGTGTTTTACTAGGGGGCGGGGGTGTGTACTGCATAGGGAAACGCTGATCGGGAGAGATAAACTCTTCTCTCCCGATCAGCCTGTCAGGAGCTGTCAGGGAACTGACAGAGAGCAGAGCTACTGCAGCCCTGCTCTCTGTCAGTGATTGCCGCTAATCGCCAGGACACAGCCAGTAATGAACGGCTGTGACCCGGCGACTGACATCCGCGGCTGTGATCGGCGGGACAGGTAGGGCGGTGGTGCGCCTCATACGCACCCCCTACCTGTTTTGAAAACACACGTTTTAAAATGTGGTTTTGTCCAGCTGTGCCGCCCTGCCGCCGTATTTCTACAGTGGCTGGGCGGCCAATGTACCAATGTGGTGATGCACTCCACTATATGCAAAACAAATAAACAGATAAAAAACCAAATACATTTAAATAAAAAAATCTTAAAACAAATATTCAAATGTCCACACAAAGTCCGTGAATATCTATAGCCACTGTAATGTAAAGATGGGGTGCTCCTCAAGTAACCTCTTGTGATACCGCCCACTCCTACGTCATCATGCTTCCCGTTGATGTCACGTCTGGTTCCGCGCCATCTTGTGTTCCACACTGGCTATTGTGGCGAATGGCCACTCTTGGATGCTCCAGCTCCACAGTCCAGCTACGCAAAGACTACCCTGACCGCCTGGAAGCAGGAACCTGAAAGGGAGACACCCGCATGACCTATAGACATGTCTGCCTCTTTTACCCTCTAGTGAGTTGCCAGTTGTATGTGGGTTAATAAACCACATTCATTTTATGCTACACTTAGTCTGGCGCCCCTCTGTTCCCTTTTATACTCACAAAGTTTGTCACAAGTTAGCCTGCAATTTCTTGTTTGTGTATTCTTACCTCCTTGCTGCAGTGCTGTTCCTGATCCCTTTCACATATGTGGTTTGTCTGTGCTCACCTATGGGCGTCATCTGCTGTTCTCTGGGTTTTATTTCTTTCCCTTCCATCACTTCCTGGCCTGCCTCCTTGTTTGCCTGCCTATATAAGACATACTCTGTCTAGGGCACTTGCCTGAGCAACTTCTTAGTTGTCTGAGCTCATGTGTGTTGCTGACTCCTGTATCCTGCATTTGACTACTCGTGTATTGACCCCTGCTTTGTTCACTGACTGCTTGTTTTCCGCCCGTCCTAACCTTGGCAAGTTTATTGAATTTTCGTTTGGCTTCTCTCATTGTACTCAGCTCCCGTGAGCTGTCTCCACATCCTCAGCTGGGCGTACCTGGGGGCCACGACCTGGTCCCAGCTTGCTGCAAGTCCATCCCCACTATCAGGGGCATTGGTGAAGAAGCAGGCTGGGGCTTAGACTCCGCACCCTGGGGAACCCCAAGTTGATGATCTTCAAGGGCTCACTACCACAGGTGCTTGACACAGTTCCAGCTTTACTCTTAAGGGTGCTTCCACGAATGCTGCATTGTGTTCATTCTTTTGGACTTTTATATGGACTTTTATCAATTATAACTAACACTCTTCCAGCGCTGACTGTATATATTTTCTTCTATCATTTGTATACTTAAAAAGAAAATATATGAGAAGATGATGGGTGAAAAGCTAATTATTTCTGGAGCCCTAATGCCTTATTAGGAGACAAACAATGCTGTAAATAAGATTACTTGCAGATCCCATGGGGACACTGGTGAACAAAAGGAGTGTCTGATTTCACCATTTCTAGTTGAAATATTACACTTTGTGTTTGACCCCTTTCCATAATAAACAACAGTAAATACTTTGGTACTGTAAATCATTTTTATCATATCTATTAAATTGCATCTCTTACCAGTACTGTACGTCTGGCTCTGTATTAAGTGTTAATGCTAAATGGTAATAGGGCAAGAACAAGAATGCTTTTCATTTTACACTTGAAAATTGTTTATGCCTCTTAGAGTAGTTAACATCTACAGTACTTTTTCGTTCCATTTTGTGTTGTTTTTAGAAGTACAATATTTGTTTAATGATTACAGCTACATTTAATTTAATGAGAAAATCTATTGTAGTGCCTAAAGTAGAAATGGAAAAGTCACTTTAGAAAAAGCAATGGCTATTTATAAGCACAGAATCTTTATGTGTTACAATTTCTTTTATACAGTATTATACTGTATATACAGCATACTATTAACACATTTCCCATCACATAAAATTATGTTTGTTTTAGTACCCAGGGCAATTTAAAAAGATTTTTATGTTGTTTTCTGTAAAAAAATAAGAAACTGATACAAGTGTAGCACCTGCCAGATCAGCAGCCCCTTTAAGCCACCTGACAGAGCACTATTGCTTCACTGCTCTTCATCTCCCCAGCCCTGCTTAATGGAAAGCTCAGGGAGGAAGGATAGGCAGAGGGACAATGATTAGCTGCTGTTGCAGCCTTGACTATGCCAGAAGGAAGGCCTGCTCACCTCCTGACAGATGAAAGTGTTTCCAGTATCCTCAGGCAGAGTGGGGTGCCCAAGAGTTGCTGCAGGAGGGACCATTAGGCTGCTGAGCTACATGAAGGAAGCAGGCTGCTGTTGTGCTGAGAGCTGCTGGCTGCAGTGCCCACAGGGAAGAGAGACTGTGCTATTGTTCCAGATACAACATTATTGTTTCAGTATCCTACTGTTCCACAACTGTTTTTCCAGGTTCCCTGCAGTTCCTGCTGCTATCTTACCAAATAGCATTCTCATCAACAACCTTTCATCATGTCCTAATCAGTACTTTTCTCAGATTCTCTGTATTAACTCCCTACTTCATTCCCTCCTCCGCCCGCCTCCCCTCACCACTGTCCACTAACTTATTCATTGCTCAGGACATTGACAGTTATTTTACAAAACAAGATAGACACAATCAAAATAAACTATTTCTCTCTATTGGAATTATGTTTTCCTTTTAAAACATGCAATGGTAACCCTGATCCCTAAAAGAAGACGTTGGGCCCCTCCATTCTGTAAAACGTGAGACCCATTTTTTTGCTTGAATTTACCTCCAAAATCCTAAATCTTAAAAGCTATAACTATCTGAGTTGCTACCTCTGAGTTTTTCTTGATCCCTTACAGTCTGGCTTTTGACCACAACAGTCCACAGCAATTGCCCTTCTAAAACTCATTAACAACCTACCAACTGCTAAAAATAATGGTCACTACACAGCAGGGGCGGACTGACCATTTGGAAGCTCAGGCACTGCCCGAGGGCCCGGGACCATTAGGGGGCCCCATGAGATGCCCCTGGTACCTTTTTCATAGGCTTTTTTGAGTTTGGGCAAGGACACATGGGCCCCCATGATCCCTTATTGCCCGGGGGCCCCATGAGTTGTACACAGTACTCTTACTGTTAGATCTTTGAAACAGTTAATCACCCCCCCCACCATTCCTCCTAAAAAAAACTCCACTCCCTTGGTTTCCATGGCTCTTTTCTTTATGCTGGTTCTCTTTATACCTATCTCAGCACTCTTTCAGGGTCACCCACAACTATACATCCTTCTTTCCTCTTCCTCTTTTCAAAAGGGTTCCCCAATGCTCTGTCTTCAGATCCCTTCTTCCTTCTATTTACACCTTATCCCTTGGTCAGTCGGTAAACTTACATGACTTCCAATGCCATGTCTATGCTGACAACACCTACATGTTACTTTCTACTACAAGGCTTACGTAACCCTTCAGTCTCCATGGGCGTAATAAATCTACTAAAAAACACATCAGTATGGATGTCATGTTGTTATGTTTATAAGTAACCCACACAATAAAGTGAGATTTTTGCACTCAATTTCTCCTGTTGTGTTAAAATATCTTTGGAAAATGTAGAGATCACTGGCTGATGTATTCCAAAGTTTTGCATGTTACATTTGTAACCACATTGATTTTTGGCATTTCAGATCCTGAACAGGCCAATGCTTTTTGAGGTTACTGACTTATTGCCTGTGAAATCAGTTTTTTTAAACCTAAATGTTTTGTTTATCTATATCTGACATTCAGTTTTATTAGCTGAGAAGATGGATTAAATGCTTTTTCTGGCAGGCTTTATGTTACAGCAGGTGTACAACTTCAATATTTTTCATTTGTGTACAGAATCTTCAAATAAGATAAAAACATCCAGTGTGTGTTTATTTTGAATACTTTGTGCTTCTCTTTTACAGGATTTCATTTCAACTATATGAACATTACTCTTGTCTGTATTTGAATACATTTCCCGGTTCATTTCTAATTCAGCAAAGTTGACAGGCCTTAAAAGCTATAAAAATGCATTTCTGAAAGACTGGTCCCTTGAGTATTCCAGAGTTCACATATCAGTTTTCTTTTGTGTTATATAATCTACCCAATGTGAACCAAACAAGAGGTAAGAAGTAGAAAAAAATACTTGCACATTAAAGTTGTTTGCAGCTTGTCATTCAGTTAAAACAGTGATTTTTTTTAAATGAAATGAAAGCTTCACAATGGACAATAAAATGTTAACTTAAGAATAAGGGTACTGCATAACCAAATACTAATAATGGACACCATCATATTATATTGTAAACCTGTCACTAAATGTACCTTTTATTCTACTTTAATTATGCTTTA